GGATTACCAATAAACATCTGGAATAAAAATACATATTCACAAACTGTACAGTAAGAATAATATTATTATATTATTTGTAACTTAATTACTATGGATAAAGATCTTGGCTGTATACTTTAGGATATACATGGACAACTTTATTCCTCTAGAATTATAATGAAAAGGAAAATCAATGGTCGAGAGGAATTTTTTTGTCTGCTGGTTTACAAAAATAATTACAGTTAATAGTTGTTGATACATGTAAGTATGTATTGGAAGATAAACCTTCTTTGAATCATTCTTTGAAGAAGGATAACTGGCCATAAAGTTATCAACATGCTCTTGGTTGTGAAAGAACATGTTGCTGCTTAAAGGACTTCAATGGCTAGCACCAGATGTCTTCTTTCTTGGCAGACCAAAACAAGCATCAATAGAGACAAACAACTTTCCATTTTCCTGAGAATTAAACCAAATACACTGTTCACAAACAGTCTACTTTGTTATTTTCATAAATTACAATGTACCAATTGTCATGAAATCATGGACGCTGATCCGCTCTTGAAGCATTTCAATGCTAAAAGTTCAAAATATAATGAATCAACTGGTATAAAATATTAATAATAATATTATATTCAATACCTGTTGTTTACTCTATTTTGAGATAGTTGAATACCTTAGGACAAGCTGGACAGTATGGGGCTCTAGCTGTACAATTTTCCTCTTCCCAATTGTACCAAGAGCCAGCTTTAACATAATACCTAAAAGTTAAACAGTTAGTATTAAATTTTTAAACTTTGGACAAATTGCTCCACCTCAAGTAACAAAATGCCTCAGCCAGGATATCAAACTGAAAAAGAATAAAGTATTTTTAACAACAACGACACAAGTAAATCACTTGTAAAGTAAAAATTTAGAAAAACAATAAATTGATATGATTTACACATGCCTGAATTCTTCAAAGCTGTCAAGTAACTGCTCGTACACTGTCCTTTTCTAATGTGAAGCAAAAAAAAGTAGCCATTAATTTAAAGGGAATGTATCAGTTAATTCCAATTATAGCAATCAGAACATATAATAACAGCAGGAAAACATAACATACAATATTGTACCTTTAAAAGAGGGTTTTTGAAAAATTCCAGTGCTCTGCAGAAGTCGTACAGAGACACTTGGCATTCCATCATCAGGGCTAGTGCCCAGTGCATTAACTCCATAGTGAAAGCCAAGGTGGGCTCGACAGGTGTTGCAGGCCACAAGCCATGCAACAACAGACTTTCTGCAACAGTCTGGCATGCACAGCAAATGAGAGAAATTTCATGATGGCAACCTAAATGTAAAGATAACAGAACAGAAATGTTTAAAAGCAAAACAGATTAGCTAGTTCTATTTGACTTTGACCTATTTTAAAATAGCCACAAACTATTACATCTACTGTATGCACAGTAAAACATCTATAATATCTGGATGAGCAAGAGTGGCTGTAATCCAAAAGCACTCTGCCTGAGACTTCCAGAAATATTTTCTTTTAACTCCAACACTAATAAGCACAACATTTCATTAATTAATAAATAAATTAAAGTGATCAGGTACAACCACAAATCACATCTATAGGAAAATAATACCACTGACAGAAAAATGACAT